TGTTTGTAATTTATCCTTTAGAAACATATTTGGTTAACCTGTGATATCCAAATCATAGTTTAAAAATAGAGTAAATTATAAATACACTCTTGATATTTGTTTAAAATACAGATTACCCCTTATGGTTTAAAAAATTATAAATACCCCTTATTAAAATTTTTTATTTAATAAAATTAACTAAAAATAAAATTTATAATTGCTTTCTATACAATAATAAAATTACTTAAATTATTAATTAAAATAAAAGTTTAACATTATTAAAAACTGTTAATTAACTTGATAATTTATTAATAAAATGACCTATTTGTTATGAAATTAGAAATCTTAAGGGACATAATGTAATTTCTAAAATCACAAAGGATAATTTGTAATTTAAGTAAAACTAAGGAGGTGTATTTGTAATTTACCCATAAAAAAATTAAGAGTAATAAATTGAATGTTTGTATAAAAAAGTTTTTATAAATAAAATGTGATAATATTTTGTGATCCTTCCATTTTTAATTAAAACACATTATTGTCTTAAAATTTCATAAATGTTATTGACACAGTATTTTGAATTTTTATGGATAAATTACACTTACCTGCCCTGAGATTTACCTTAATTACAGATATCTCTTATGTGGTTTCAAAAATTACACAAACCTCCATTATTTTTGAAAATAATAGCTAGATTCCCCCTTTGTTAACTTTGTTCCAAATAGTATCAAAAATAACATTAAATGACTAAAATATCTCCATTCCATCTTTCTTTCTCTATTAACCCAACTACAACATTGCCTCATCTAATCCACCAAATCCTACAAAAAGATAAATTAGTGACCTACTATCCAAAGTTATTGTCAGTTTCTATCTTCAAGTGAGTTTACACTTAAATTTAAGGAATTATTACACATTCATAAAAAAAAGTTTATGTTTTTAATTATTAATATTATAAAATTTACCATTTTTTTATAATTATTTTTCAAAACCATTCCTGAAATAATTTTTTTTCCCCCTAAATTTAAAGTTAGCATAACTAAACTTTTATATCCCATCATGCAAGGCTATGAGACAAAAAGAAAAAAAAATCTCACAGGATTTGGGAATCAAGTCCGCATAAAATTTTTAAATCATAATAACTTGTTTGGTTTCACTTTTCAGGATTCGCTTTTTAGAAAATTGAAATTTTTTGTTTGCGTATTTTTTTTTATTTTCACTAATTTTTTAATATTTTAAGTCATTTTTTTTTTAATTTTTAGATATACCTAACATAAATACACTTAAAAAATATAATATTTTTGAAAAAAATCTTTAAAAAATTCATGAAATAGTTCAATACATTTTAGTATTCTTGTGTCTTTATTGATTTTTTAAAATATTTTTTATAAATATTTTAATTTTTGGATACATCTAAGTAAGGTGCATCTAAAAAAGTATAAAAAAATTACTTAAAATTTTAAAAATATTCATCAAAAACAAAAAATATGAAAAATAAAAAATTCAATTTTCAGAAAATTAAATCTAGAAAATTGAAACAAAACATATGAAATTTTTTATTTTTATTTCTCTTTTTGTTTCCTATTAGAATTCTTATTTTTATTTCTTTTTTTGGTTTTTATTTATTTATTTATTTTTATTATTTAAAGGTCAAGTGTTATACTATCATATCCAACTTTTCTGATACAAAGCAATTCAAAACATATATACACACTATATAAGGAAAGTGAATCATGATTCATAACACTTTGTTTGGTTTAATTTTCATAATCAATTTTTTTAAAAAAATCATGAAAAAAATTAAAAATAATTTGGTGTAAAAAATTAAAAATAAAAAAAATGATCATCATTTTCACATGATTTTTTTTCTTTTTTGGGTGCACAATTAATTTTTAAATAACCAACATTCCTGGTACAAGGCAATTCAAAACATATATATAAAAAATTAACTTGGTATAAAAAAAATACTCATTATTGTCATGTTGTTTTGAGGAAAAGTTTACAGGTACTGAAAAATTGGAAGGGCATTTTGGATATTTTTGTGTTTGTTGTTGCTAATGTCACTCTTTTTTATTATTTTTGTAACGTGTTTCAAAAGTAAGGGAGATATGTGTAATTTTTGAAACTATAAGAGAGATATTTATAATTAAGATAAATCTTAAGAGAGGTAAGTGTAATTTACTCCTTTTTTTTTTTTTTATATAAATATAAAATATATATTTTTAAATTATGTTTTTAATAATAATAGGCCAATTTCTGAAGTACACAGTTGAAATTTTTGTCGGCCATGGGGGACACGTGGATTTCAAACACCTCATGGTCCCACACTACTGCCCACACACTTATTCAGCACGTGTTTTAATGTCCATTTGGAATAACTCCAAATCCCAGTCGTCCATTTTATCTCGTGTGCATGGTTGTAAGTGTAATGATATGACCCGTGTGCAGCTTGTCTCTTCCAATCCCTCATTGGTGGGAGAATTTTTTTTGGATAGAGAAAAAATATCTACCAAAGATTTTCATAGAAAATGGCCTCTTAGTCAGGGGAAATTTTTTTTTATTAACTTATTAATTTATTTAGATCGTATTATTTTTTATTTTTTATAATAAGTCAGACAAAAAACACTTCTCAAAATAATCTAATGAAACAAAAGGTGAGCCTCATAAGTGTTTGGATGTGTAATCCCTACCCACTACATGTAAGGAGTATGTAAATTTGTGTAAATTTTATAAAAATATGTAAATTATGTAACAAAACTGCATAGTTTAAATTTCAATTCGCATAAGTTAATTTATAAAAACTTGAGAAATTACAACTTGATATAAGTTATCACAAACATATATAAATTATCTTACAAAATCACATAACTAAAACACAAATTTACGTAAGTTAATTTATAAAATTTTGAAAAATCATAATTTGACGTAATTTTTTATAAACATACATAAGTCATCTTATAAAATCGCGTAAATTAACATAAATTCGCATAAGTTAACCTATAAAACGTGTCATAAGTTCTTACAGAAGTGTGTAACTTAAGTCACAAAAATACATAAATAAATAGCATACCATATGCCTTGCACAAAGAATTATCCATATAGATCTCACATTAAAAATTTGTAAAAATTATATATAAGTAGAATTATTACAAAATATTTACAGATCAATGAAAATATTTATAAATTTATTTATTAATACTTATAAAATTTACCATTGATTTGAATTTAAAAAAAAAAAAAAAAAAAGATACACTAAGGTGTTTTTTTTTAAATTTTAATAGAGTGTTACGTTTGGAAAAAGTATACTAAAAAACTTTTTAGTGTGTTACATTGAGTGTTATGTTTGGAAAAAGTACATTAAGAAATTTTTTAGTGTGTTATATTAGAGTGTTACGTTTATAAAAAGTATAGTAAAAAGTTTTTGTGTGTTACATAAAGAGTTTTTTAATATGTTACATTTGAATGTGACGTTTGAGAAAAGTACACTAAAGAGTTTTTGTGTATTACATTGATTGGAGTGTTTCGTTTAGAAAAAGTACACTAAGGAATTTTTTAGTATATTACATTGGAGTATTATATTTAGGAAAAGTACGCTAAGGAATTTTTGTATTACATTGATTGAAGTATTACGTTTGAGAGAAGTACATTTTGTGTATTACATTAGAGTGTTACAGCCAATGATTTAAAAAATTTCCCAACCCCTTTTTTTTTTTTTTTTTTTGATCGGCAAAGAAAAAATTCCATTAAAACATGAAATTTAAAAGGTACAAGGAAAAAAAACGTATTGAGAGAGATTCGAAGAGTAAAAACACTCTCCTACTACTGCTACTCACGTCTTTACAACCGACCCCTTAACCTCACAAATTATATTTTAAAATACAAATAAAACAACAAAACAAACCCAAAAAAACTACAATTCAAACTCTTGAGTCCCACACCTAACACTGAAACACAGAGAACACCCACACCTGCCGAAGACCACCTAAAGCACTGACACCTAAAACACTGAGCCCCACGCCTACTGCTGCCGAGAACCACCCATGACTGCAAACCCTGCTGGTTACTCCTCCTTGTTGCCTAGGCTCTTTGGTTGTGAGTTTTTTTAGCCTAGTTTTGTGAGGCTCTTTCCATTTTATTTTTTAGATTTTTATTCAAATTTATAATCTAAATAGTAAATCCATCGTAGAAGGAAGCTGTGCGTAGCTTTGAATTGTCTTTCAAATATTTAATTTATTTTCCTCAATAAAAAAGATAGGATATTAAAAGTCCTTTAATTTTAAAAAGTGTGTTTTTCATTTAAAGAAGTCTTTTTAATAAAGAACTTTCAAACTTTTATTTTCTTTTTCTCAATATAAAAAAATAGGATATTAAAGGTTTTTTTATTTTAAAAAGTGTGATTTTAATTTAAAGATGTCTTTTAATGAAGATTTGTGAAATTTCATGAAAGGGGATTTTGGTGATCTTGGCTCTCAATAGATAGAGTGAAAATACAAAATACAATCTCCCATTCATTGTTCACACCAAAATTAAACACAATTTCATTGAGTAGTTATTAAGGAACATCATTGAGATTGTTGAATTGCAAAATTTTATCAACTAATTTGTGTGTGCAACAGTAGTAGCTAGTATATTATAAAGAATTTTATAAACGTGTATCTTTAAAAAATATATCAATAAATTTAAGAAAAAATTATACATTCTGTATGAAAATATTACATAATATATAATTTTTTATGAACTAAAAGTTATACAGGTTAGCATGACTTTGGTGTCGTTTGGGAAGTGGGTTGGCTTTTTGACTTTTTGGTTTTTTTGACTATTTTAGCCTGAGGCTAAAAAGCCTAGTTTGGGAAGGGTTTTTGACTTTTTTAGCTTTTTAAACTTTTTTGTGAGAGAAAGAATGTAATGATTATAGATTGAATGTGATGTTTTATCTTATTGAGCTAAAAAATCTATTTTATTCTTTGCGACTATTTTAACTAAAAAAAAATCCAAAAAGCCTCTTACCAAACAGAGGCTCTACTATAAATATATGTAACAAACACAACATTCGAAGCAATATATCCAAACTTGGTAGTACTAACACATACAAAACATTAAATGGCCAACCACCAAAGCAATGGCCAAAATGGCCTACAACAAGGCCAAATTGTGGTGGTGGTGGTGCCATTTCCAGCACAAGGCCATCTCAACCAACTCCTCCAACTCTCCCGCCTCATCTCCGCGTACCACATCCCTGTCCACTACGTTGCCTCTGCCACCCACAACCGCCAAGCGAAGCTCCGAGTCCACGGTTGGGACCCCATCTCTGCCGCTAACATCCATTTCCATGACTTTCCCACCCCTTTCTTTCCCTCTCCTCCTCCCAACCCTAACGCCTCGATTAAATTCCCCTCCCACCTCCAACCTTCTTTTCAAGCCTCATTGTGCCATCGCGATCCTTTTAATACGTTATTGGATGTTCTCTCCCCCACTTATCGAAGAATTATTGTCATTCATGATTCACTGATGAGCTCAATAGTTCAAGACATCCCGTACACTCCAAACACCGAGTCCTACATTTTCCATAGCGTATCAGCTTTCACAACCTTCCTCTACTTTTGGGAAACAATGGAAAGGCCTTTCGCAATAGAATCCGAAATACTCAAAGACCTTCCCTCCTTAGAAGGTTGTTTCACCTCCGAGTTCTTGAAATTCATCAGAAACCAACACGATCACATTAAGTTCAATTCCGGTCATCTATACAACACGAGTAAAGTGATTGAAGGTCCGTACATTAATTTACTCGCGAAGAAACAAATAACCAAGAACAAGAAGCATTGGGCGATTGGGCCATTCAACCCGGTGACAATAAACAATAACTATAATTTTCTTCGCCGACACACATGTCTAGATTGGCTTGACAAACAAGCTCCAAACTCAGTCATTTACGTTGCGTTTGGATCGACAACCTCATTGTCAGATGAGCAGATCAAAGAGCTTGCAATTGGGTTGGAGCGGAGCAACAAAAGGTTCATATGGGTATTGAGAGACGCCGATAAAGGAGATGTGTTTGATGGAGAAGAAAAAGAAGAAGAGAGGCGAGTTGAGCTTCCAAAAGGGTTTGGAGAGAGAGGAATGGTGGTGAGAGATTGGGCACCACAATTGGAGATCTTGGGACACAGTTCAACAGGTGGGTTTGTGAGTCATTGTGGTTGGAACTCATGTATGGAGAGCCTTTCAATGGGAGTTCCGATCGTGGCGTGGCCGATGCATTCGGATCAGCCGAGGAATACTGTGTTGGTGACGAAGATGCTGAGAGTTGGTTTGGTTATGAGGGATTGGGGAAGGAGACATGAGGTGGTGGAGGCGGCGGTGGTGGAGGAGGTTGTGAGGAGGCTGATGGGTTCGGAAGAAGGGGACGAGATTAGGAGGAGGGCGGCAGAGTTGGGTGGCGCTATGCGGCGGTCGGTGGCGGAGGGTGGTGTTTCTAGGAGGGAGTTGGATGCTTTCATTGCTCATATCAGTAGGTATTCAGAAATTTAGGATGCGTATGATTTGATTTTGGAGATAAATTTAAAAAAAAATTGGGGAGAGAGTTTAAGGTCGTGTTTGGTAGAGTTTTTTAAATATGATTTGAGAATAGAGTTGTATTTTGAGTTTATGAATTTTAGAATTATGATTTAAGTGTGGAAAATTTGTTTGGTGAATAAGTTTTGAAAAGAGTTTTGAATTGATTGAAATTTTTTTGATGTGATATATGATATTTAATAGAAAAACTTACAATTCATAACTAAACATACAACTCAAAATTATATTCAAATCTCATAAAAAATTTTAAAAAATTCTGACAATTTTTTTTTATTTAAAATATAGAAAATAATAGGTGCTAATAGTAAAATAAATAAATAAATAAATAAATAAAATTTCACCATATCGGTCAGCCAGTCGGATGTCCGAAAGGATAACCGGTTAGTCCAAATTTTCCGATCTTCGAAAGAATTTTCAAAAGTGAGTGTGGAATTATATTTTGAAAACCCCACCAAACGGATTGTAAATTTTTTTTTGATTTGTTTAGTTGTATATTTTGGAAATAGTTTTGGAATATGAGAGTTTGGAATGATTTGATATTTTGTTATAGTTGAGTAGATGTGTATGGAAAAAAAAATGATTGAAAAGGAGAGAAGAGAGAAAAAGTGATTAATACTAAACAAAATTTTGAAAACTTTTCTTCAAAATTACTCTCTCAAAAGCAAATCAAATAAGGCCTTAGGCTTCTTGGGTTGGATTTTTGATTTTTTTATTATAGTCTGGGACTAAAAACAATCTTACTTGGGTTGAGTTTTTTTGGTTTTTGTTTTTGTTTTTGTTTTTGTTTTTTTGATTTTTATAAGAAAAAAATAAAATAATTATGATTCAGATGTAATATTTTATTTTATTAATTTTTTAATATATATATATATATTTTTTTTGACTATTTTAGTCTAACACCCCCATGCCAAACGATGGCTGGTTTATGTGATATATAAGAAAAATAAAATAAAAAATGCACTTATTATTTTTTGGCTGGTTTTATTTTATGGCTGGTTTACATACATTTGGTCATTTGGTCCCATCTGAATCATAATGTTTAAACAAATAGGTGCATTTTTTATTTTATTTTGGGGCCCACTCTGAAAAGCTAGCTCGGTTCCTGCATGTGATATTTTAGTCTAACACCCCATGCCAAACCCCAAACCCCCTATTTATGTATGATTCCTGTACGAGTATGAAATAATGTTCTCGTATAATCCTGTAGATCAAGTCTGCGCTCCTCCAAACGTCGTTACTTTACTCCCTGAAAACACAAACGTGAGCTAGCCGGCGGGTGTGTGTCAGATACCTCTGCGATGCCTAAGTTAGCCAAATAGACAAATAGGTAAAAGCTCTGTGTATTCGAGAATCAAAGTTGTGATACCTGTACATAGGTTCTATTGTGAGCTTTTATAGTTTTTGCCTGGCACAATCCTAGTAGGATTCTTATTTCTCAATGTAGAGTTCTCTTAGGAATCACACTCTTGAAAGATAATGCTTATCCTTCAACACCCTCTTCACTGCTTAAACCAAGTAAGATGGTTTTACCACGGTTGAATAACAGTATGACTGAGCTAACACTAGCCCTTTAACATACTCAATCTGGTTCTGTCATATGCAACGCCTAGCTCGGTCCCTGTCCACTTATACCTTGGTTTGGCTGTTTAGACCGAGCTAACTGCAGCAGCCTCTGACCGAGCCAACAAGGGTGAGGTCCAATTTAGCGAAGCCAAAACACCTCGGCCCATAGCTCGGCCCAAACTTCTCCTAGCCCAAGCTCGTTAGTTTTTAGATCGAGCTACAACAGCTCCTATCTCGGTCCGACGTACGGCCTAACTTCCAAAGAAGCCTCTTCGTTAGCTCGGCCCAATTTATTTATAAATTACCCTCTAATTGCTCCTTAATTCCATCTGCGCAGCATGATTTGGAATTACTTCCGATCAAAAAACGTATTTTCAGTCGCTACCCATCTGAATCGTTTTTGATTCTTTTGGACATGTGGCGAGCCCTCATTGGTTGAATACAGCTGTCATAGCCGCCTTCGTTCCTCGCAAAATTTGAACAGTCCCACCCAAATTCACGCTTTATACAAAAACCCTATTTTTCCAAATCAAACACTCCACTATTCATCTTCTTTCTCTTTTGCCCTTTGAGCCTCCATTTCATAAACACAGTACCTGCAAAGCTTGTGCTCTTATCGCCATCCTCGCGGTTTTTATCTGCGTCCTTCCGTCTTCAAGCTGTAAGTAGCTCAACCCTGTTTTCTTTCAATTTGTATAGTCTAGTAACATGTAACATAGCATACATATGTTTTTTCACAACCCACTCATATGGTTTTCACACGAATGGGTAAAAAACCTCTTTAGACAATAATCACACTCACTGGATTTACAAACAATCTGTAATGGGATGTTTTTGATCCAGAATCACACCACGACCGAGATAAGAACTTGTTTATCATGGGTGTGTATTAGACCGAACTAGAAACCATACCCAATGACCGAACTAGAACTGGAGCCAGGCCTTTAATCGGGCTAGAGGTCCTAAATGAGCCCTTCTGTTCGACCGAACTGAAAATACCACGTTCCCCGAATGTGACCGAGCTAGGTTTTTCCATTTTTCTTTTTTGCTTGTAAATTGACTCTTCACTTAGTCCGGTCCAGTTGTCTGGGCATAACACTTCTTATCTTCATTTTGCAGACTCTGACTAGGTTGGCCAGGCATACCTTTGCACGCTCAACCGAGATACTCTATGTCATCTCAACACCGAGCTAGGACTCCGGGCTAAGTTTATTCATAATTTTAAGTCATAAATGGGTAAATACCGATTCCTAGTAAACTCACCAGGGGCCATTGCCGAATTCTGCAAGGACTACAACATCCTTGATCACATCCACCTTTCACTAGCCGAGCTAAATACAACTCCATGGGGAAAACAGGGTTTCGTTCCCTTCACCGTCATATCCATTGTAGAGGCCAGACTCTGATTCCCTGTTCAGCCATTATTATGCGAATTTCTTAGGTAGACTAGAATATGCCCAACCTAACTTAGCACCAATTCTTACAAAATAATAAATGGCATCGCCGAGCTAAATTACCAGCTTGGCCTCAACCTCGGTTTAGCCGAGCTATTTCACCAATACTCACTTGGCCAGAATGAAGACAGCTGGGCATACTATTTAAGAATAAGAAGACGCCGAGAGAAAATAATTAAAAACACACCGGACAAAGACGTGAATGACGACGACTTTTTCTGGGTTTCTGGCAATTTTGAAGACCAGGAAGCCCAGGTACTGGGCTACGGTATTAACTGGAATAAAGGAACAGCCGGTATGAACACCTCGGCTCAATTTGTATGTTTTTTACCCTTGTTGTTTATAAATTTCTCATCGCGCCAACCGTTTTTCCTTTTTCCTTACGCGGACTTGAACCAGCTTAAGTCTCAATATCAATACCCCAACTTGGACGCTCTCCGTGCCGCACTTCGATACCACGATCGAGGTTGGGCCGAGCTATTTAACTTCGAGTCGACCTACAGATATAGCGGAAGGAGGAAGACCAGGGTAACCGACTTTCTCCTTGAGCCATCCCTCGAACCAGATCCCACCCTTCCTCAAATTAGGCTAATCCCACTAACAGAGGAACAAGAAATGGCTAAGAAAAGAGCAATCAGAGCACTCATCATCGAAATAACAGCTCCAGCCGTCGGGGACCAGACCAAGATACCACAAGCTGGCCAAACACATGAGGCCGTGGTAGCCTTTACAACAGCTTGGGCCTTATTATCTCGGCCCAATAAGCGTGCTCGCACCTCCTCGACCAAGCCACGCCTTGTTAATGAAGAAGACACCATACTGCCCTAAACCACGCCACCGAGCCCAGAACCCGAGCGTTCTGACCGGGCTAGCTTTTCAGAGTGGGCCCCAAAACTAACATACAGGAATCGAGCCATAAAAAACACAGACTCAGTGGTGGCAGACAAAGACCATACGCTCGCTTTTAACCTGGCTAAGAGCGTGTGCTTGCCCTCTGACATAGAGCATCATGACCATTTAACCGAGCTGAAGGCTATCCGGTCGGCGACGAAGTCAATGGTGCTGGTAAGTGCTCATTTTAACCGTCTTTTATTTTATATCATCTGTTTGCTCGGCTTTTATTCATAATTGCTATCTCTTCTTTTGCAGGCCATGCAGAAGAACCATGTTGCTCACAAGCGTGTGTTGGAACTGCGTAAGACAACAAGGCTAGCCATGGCGGAGGCCAACAGCAAGATGGCTGAGCTAAATGAAGCCAAGTAGAAAATGGCCGAGCTTGAATCTGAAGTCGCCCGACTTACCGGGCTAGTTAACTTAGCTGAAGAAGATAAGCAGAAGGCTTTGGCTGAACAGAAAGACAAGTATCTGCACGAGCTGGCTAAGCTCGAGAAAAAGAAAGACGCAGAGATCGTCGAGCTGAAGAAGAGCGTAGACGATGTTGAAGATCGTGGTTACAAGGAAGGGGAGGCCACCTACATCCTGCAGTGCGAAGCTGCCAAGGACATATTTTTCAAATGTGGATGGAAGGCGGGTGTCAAAGCTCAGTTACGACTAAGAGACTGAGGTCTTTCAGAACCTTCCTCCCCACTTCATTCCAAGCTATATGGCGGACTAAGACAATGCTATTCAGCAAAAATTTCTTCAAGTAGGGGAGGAAGATGAGGCATCCCCAAAGCCCAACAACACCCCGACTGCTACCAATGATCGTGTTCTCCAAATCGCTCAGTTAGCTCGGGTGGAGCCCCCGGTGCTCAGTACGGTTGAAGATGTGACCCACCTTCCAGCTGGAACCAGGCTACGGAGTGATGAAACTCGAGTTGACCTGGATGCAGATTTGGACGATCTTTTCACCTGATCATGTATCTTTTTCTTTTGATGCTAACTTTTTGAAAGAATTTGTAACCGGGCTGAAGCCCCACCTATTGTAACGCACTTTTGAAAATGGAATGAAATCTGCTCTTTTTTCTTCAACTGTTTGG